GCAGTTGTGTTTGAAAACATCCTTCTAACTTGTTTGCTCTTCAGCCATAGATATCTAAAGTGACAGAGGCTTCAAATTCCTCCTCAGCCCTTCACACCTTCAGCGTGGCACCCATAGAATTGATACTGTTCTGAAATTCACTGTGGTAACATGACAAGGCTGCTGCTAGAGTTGGAGGCAACCTCCTCTGGAAGTCTCCTGTGTGTTCCAGTCTCAGCKGCTCCTTTGGATGGCACTGGGGCATACTTGCCTGGAGTGTTACCATTCTCATCAGCAGTCAAAGCAAAAAGTGCACCAAATCTGAATCAGGCTATGAACTTTTCTTAGCCTACAATGTAGGTGACAGCTAAACAAAGGACTTCACAAGGTACAGATGCTAAGAAAAGCACCCAGTTTGGAGTCTTCTCTGCTGTCCACACTGCTGCCAGCCCTAGACAGCGCCCCTGAGTGCGCTCTTCCCCTTTTGGCTCCTAGATCAAGTCAGGAACAGGAAGGGACAGAGAATTCCAAACACTGGTGTACTTCCTCCAGCTACATCCCCTCTCTCTTTTTCTTCTTTCTGCCCTGCTTCTCCAGGGTACAGTTTATGAGACTTCAGATGCTGAGTTAAAAATAAAGTAACAGTAGATTTTTTGTGGCTCCCCACTGTAATGCTGTACAGTGAAAAACCTGTGTTTTCCCCTCGGCTGTAGTAGGGAGAGTAGTTCTGAAAAGTCAAGTTTAGGCTTTAAGATGCACATAGGTATTTTTTCCCATATGTTTTGAATTGCTCAACTGAAAGCAGMGGAGAGAATTTAAAAACAAACCAAAACTCTGACAACCCAATCTGCAGTCTGGCCTCACAGGAGCTCACTACACCTGGGCCTCACTRCACACCTGGCCATGCCCTAGCCTCACTGGCTTCTATCAGATCCTTGAGTGTGCCTTGCCCCCTCCTGCCAATGGATCTTTGCATAGGTGCTCAATACTTGAAATCTCTTCTCTATCTTTCCTCAACCACTGCCCTCTTCTCCTCTGCCTAGTTAACTTCTCTAGGTCCTTTTTATCTCAGTTCAAACTTGGCTTCACCCAGTCATCTTCCCTAACCTCTGTGTCTAGGCCAACTCCCTACTGAAARCATTAACCCTTCAAGCACTTCCAGCTGTTACTTTGCATTTTTATTTATTTTTATTTTTTTWAATTAGCATTTGTCTCCCCAACTAAACCGTAAGCTCAATGATGGCAGATTCTTGTTCCCTTTAGGTCCCCATTATTCCTTCAGCACACCCTGTTGGGGCTCATCATAAGAGGATGCTTAATAACTGTTAGATGACTTATTCAATGAGTGAGTGAATAAATTATTTCTTTTTTTAATGAATTTATTTATTTCTTAGTTTCAACTTAGTGTCTTTCATATTTTTCTCCAACAGTTATTAGGTAGCTTAAAGTCATCTGATAAAGAAGGCCACTCTGTAGTTTTAACTCAATAAGTACAAAGGATCATACAGCTCGTCTAGGACACTGAAGAAAGGAAGGAAGTCAATAACCAAGTGTCCTTTTATTTTTCTTCCAGGACTTTAGGAAAAAAAGGGGAAATCGAGGATCAATGGTCCCTGTAATTGATTGGCCATACCTGATACTTTAATTTTAGGATAATTTCCCAAACAGATCACAGTGATTTTATTTGATAAAGTAGAATTCATTATAATCTCTAGATGGACTTTCAGTCTCCAAATGTTTTAAGGGTGTCATCATCTTATAAAAAAAAAAAAATCAACACTCCCTGGCCTACATGCTCATTAGTAAATAAATACCAAGTTTGAATTTTTGTTTGATTTTATATGCAATTGAAATTACTTTTTTAAAGGATTTATCTGGAATCATGGGAATTCTGAGATCATTTACCAAAATTAGACTCTGCTGGAGATTGGGGTAGGAGATATCCTGAGAACTTTGTGGAATTCATTGTTTGGTGAACAGTAACATGAATGATAAGGTGATTTTAAAAAGTGGCAGACAGTTTGACTCACTTAGAAAGCAGCCAGAAAATCATTAAATGGTTATAGACTATTCAGAAAAGATGGTTGTATTTTAACATTTTWAAAATATTTTATTTTTATGTTTTGGGTGCTAGGCACACTCTACCACTGAACTATACCCCTAAYCTCTAAACTGCATTTTAACAAACTGTTTTATACCTTGAAATGATTTCTTCTCCCCCAGTTTTGTGTAGTTTGTTTTGCTAATGAGGTGTAAAAAAAGATACGAAGAACAACCAAGTGCTTATAAAATTAAAATGTAGACTAATGAATATCTTTTCTTGAACTAAATTGAGAGTAGCCAACTATCTCTCACTCTGAGATCACATTAGAAAATCACTTGTGAGGACACTGGATACCCAGGAGACTTAAAGTACTGGAGTGCCAGAGCCCACAATTTATTTTGAAAAGCTTTTGACTCTTGGAAAGGGTTCAGGTAGCTTACATGGGAGTACTCTGCTGATTCTGTAGAAAGTCAAGGTCAAACTAACTAGTACTTGAAAACATTTAAAGGCTATTGAGAATGATATCTAATTATGTCTAGTGCCTAGACTTTGCTTCATCCTAACTTTATATTTTGATTAAAATATTTTAAGTTCTAGGGTTTTTTTAACATGCTTTTTAAAGAGAAATTTATTATGAAGAGCAAGACCATTTTCTATTTYTTTTGTCTCAGTTAATCTGGTTGTGGGAAATTTAGCCTTTCACACCACAGGTTTACTCACATTACAGCATAATACCTTACAAGGAAATAAACTGCCTGTGGAGAGTGTGTTGGCACCCATATTAGGAAGGTGAGAAATTCAGATGCTCCATAGAGTGGATCCCACAGGCACTTTGTCCTCCAACGTTCAGGCTGTTTGGACCTCTTGGGCTGGGAACTATGAGAAATGGTGAAAAAAAACCTGACCCTAGGGGGAGTGTGTCAGCACGGGATGGGATGCCTGATTTCTCCAGAGCTGACAGAATGAGTTCCCACAGGACAGCATACACAGCAGCCACAGTAGCAGGACAGGTGGGAAGTACAGCAGGTTCTGCAGGGTCAGATGCTGGTGCCTGGCCTCTCTTTTTGCTTGGATGATCAGTAACTAATCCTTAACTTATACCACAGTGGGTAGCAAGTCAAAACTTAAACTTCAAAATCAGTGAGTCTAATTCACTTAGATTTGAAAGGTACAAAACCCAAGGCTCATAAAATGTGAATAAAATAGCCTTCCCAGTATTTCTRTATTTATGATTAAATGTGATTGTGGGGCTTGATAACACTTCAGACCAGAGAAAAAATCTAATGGGATGACCTGAGTCTGGAAGGACTAATGCATGTTAAATATGCATGTTAATTAGGCATGCTTTCAGCTCCCAGCCTGGAAGAGTTCCCAGGGACACACACAGGCAGCAACAGCCCTCCTGGAAGTGGCAGCCTAATCCGAGTTCCCTTTGCACTGGGATAAACAAACATTTGCAAGTGGGAGTTCACTGTTGGGGCTGCTGAGACTTAAAAGCACCTTCTGGGAGGTGCAGGTTGTCCCAGGAAATGAGAGCTATTTGACAGTGAACAAAGTAGGCATTGAGCATGCATTTTTAAAATTTTTTTAAAATTAAATCTTGAAAAGAATATTTTCTAGGAATATAGTTCATTGTAGATAAGAAAAATGACTTGGATCCAGATACAGTTCCTTTAAGGGCCCATCTTGCTGAATTGCTGTTTGGTGTGCTAGTATGCACACTCTCGTGTCACAGTGCAGGCTCTTCATCTCTATATTTTATGTAACACAATTTCTACAGAAAAGAGAAAATCCTGATTGGAAAGGGGTGCGTAGWGGATAGTATTGAAAGATGTCAGTGGGAAATCCACAGTAATCCTTCCAGTAAATCCAGAGACCCATCACGACAGCCTCCTTCCAGAGCTCACATTAATATTCCCACTGGATATGACATTTACAGCCTGCATGGCAAAGGGATCCAGTTCACTCACTCTCCAGCCTCCACCCTGGAGGAGAGTGTGATGTCCTGGTCCCAAAGACCTCCCTCAAGGAACTCTCAGCCTTTCTCAAGCTGCTCCTTCTTCAGGGAACCCACAAAGCACAGATAGTGCTTTAGTTCAAAATAGAAGAACATCTTATTCTGGATTGTACACCTGAACCCTCTCTCTCCATAGATGGTAGGTTTCTCACTTCTCTTTCTCTTCCTTTGTTAGTTATGCAAACCCTAACTACACCAATCCTCAGTGCAAACTGCCACAGCCAGTTAACTTTGCATTTTCACATCTCTGGAGGAATAAAAATATAAAATACTTTGCTATTCTCCACTCCAGGGCCATTTCGTGGCTGGGAAGTCCTTCCTTTTCACAACAGTAGGCAGGGGTAATATAAGCAGGCTGATTGTGCACAGAGAAGTCCCCCTTTCTCAGTCCATGACCCCAAACTGACTGGGGATAGCTTTTCCTTGAGGACCCACCTGTAATTCTTAATGCAAGGACAAGTACCCAGACCCCTCCCAGCTTCTTTTCCAGCGTACCAAAGTCAGAAATTTGCTGATCCTCTTCCCTGGTCCTGTCCCCCATACATTTAAAACAGGCACTTGCTGGGTGGCCCCTGCAGATCTCAAGGTGGCATCCTTGTGCCTTCATTTCCTTTTACTGTGCTTGACTTTGATTTCTTCCTTTTCTWTGTACAAAGCTCTCTTTAAAGTAAGAGGTCTTTGGGAGCAGAGATATATCTCTGATTCGAGCAATATCATGAGGTTCCAGTGAAGAATCTTATAATCAATATTTTTTATGTATCCCACACCTGGAAAGACTGAAGATCTCCTACTAAAGTAGACGTAAGAAAMACTGTAGCCTCATACTGTGGGGAGAGAAGTCTGATTATGAAAGGGCTCTGAAGTTTTGTGGATGAACTTGTTTCTTCCCCATTGCTTGTTATTATCATGTGAATGTTGCATGTAAGCTCCAACCTAACACAGTTTTCATTCTTTCTGCAGCACCTGAAATTCTTAGAGGCTGTGCCTATGGACCAGAGGTGGACATGTGGTCTGTAGGAATAATTACCTACATCTTGTAAGTGAAGACAAGCAATCTTTATGCAAGCCGTTTGCCTTTGTGTAACATTGTCTAGGTATCTATAGGTCTCATAAGAACCGAGATGATTATTGTGATTTTCTGTTCACACTAAATATAGTTGGTGATAGAATTTTTCTCAAAATGATTTTTTTTCTTTTGTAATTTTCTTGGGACCAGAACCTCTGCCCAGGGCTTTTCTATATCTCATTTTTGCTATGCAATGTATAGCAGATTTGGGAAACAATTCATTATTTGATGATCATACAGAATGTGAAATCAAAGTCCACCTACTACACTTTCTCTTGTTTTATTTTATTTGCATCTTGTTGAAAACAATTAGGCCTTTAGTCCTTTTAAGAGAGCAAAGGGCTATTTTTTAAGCAATCCCAAATTGGTACATTTTTTTATCAGAATATTTTAAATGCATCTTCATTATCAATTTTGTTTCCTTTTTCAAACTAACCCTACACAGTTTTCATTGGGAGGAAACAAATGAGCTAAATATTTCACCCTCTGGTATCACCAACTCCATTATAGGCCAACTGTCTAACAAAAAATAAGGAATTTGGGAAAATTTATCAAAATGATGATGGAATTGCAGGCAATGACAAGGGAAGTCATAAACCAAACAGAGGTTTGGCTGGAAAACAAGATTTCCTTAGAACTGAAAAGCAAGATGTCAATAAGTACCATTTAGATGGTAATGCATAATTAATTTTTGGAACCCATATTGTTCAAATCTGGAAAGAGATTTTTGAGGRTTTGAAAGTATATTTGTCTTCCCTCTCCTTTCATGCTGGGGATCCAACYGTGGACCTCAAGAATTCTACCACTGAATTATGACCCCAGCCCAAAATTTATTAGCCATAATAAAACACACAGAGTGGGTGACTTCAATAACAGACATTTATTTTCTCACATCTGGGGGCTTGAAGTCTAAAATCAGGGTGCAGCCTGGCTGAGTTCTGGTGAGGAGGATCTCTTCCTGGTTTGCAGAAAACTCCCTTGTCAGCATGTCCTCACACAGCAGGGGTGGGAGGGAAGTGCACAAACTCTGWGGTCTTTTCTCATAAGGGCACTAACCTCATCATGACCTTCCTGACTTCCCTAAACCCAGTTACCAAAGGCCCCATCCCCAAATACCATCATATTAGAAGTTACAGCATCAACTTGTAAATTTGGAGTGGGGGAGAACATGTCAGTCCATAGCAGAAATTTGTTGTTGTTTTGTTTTTAATAGTGAYCTTAGAAAGTGCAATGTGTAGGTCATGTGAGCTAGGAATAATTGGAACAGAATGTCATAATTGAAACAGAACTTCCAGGCAAGTTAGCAGACTCTACATTCACCCAGGAGGGTACATTGGTTGATAGCCCAGATAAAAAGGTTTAAAAATCAACCCATAAAATAGCAATCTGCTAATACATAATCGCAAAAGATATTTTCAGTATTTAATTTCCTGTTTTTCTAGAAATGTGTTAAAGCTTGATTTAAGAGGTAGTGAGCCATATTTTTTTTTCTTTTGCCACAAGAAATGCTTAACTCATTAAAATAAATAACTGACTCTACTTTGAGATTTCTTTCATACTAGAGAAAGAATATCATCCCTGAATTATGCAGGAAATATATCATACTTCATATACACATTTGTATTTCACATTAAGTGTAAAACCAAACCATACAAATAAGGATTCAGGTTTGGTTTCAMACTTAGAGTGTGAATGAAGTGTAAATGTACCTTATGACAATCCGTGTCAAAACGTACTAGGAAGATTTGAAGCATTGATAGTATAAGAGAACTTTGAGAGATGGAAGGAGGAAATTAAGTTACATGCACCCTGAAAGATGGAAGCATGGATTGAAGAAAATTCCATGGAATGGGTCACTGACATAGRAACATAAAAGAGAAAATGCAATCATTGGAGAAACATTTTATGATGACTGGAAGATAATATTTTCCTGTCCCCAATTCCTTTTCCTTAGTCCATTGCCAAATTATACAAACTAGTCTTTATATTTATTCTCTGTAGGTCATTAATTAACAAGAATTTTTATTGAAAGTGAAAGTAGTGGCTCCAAAAATGAACACAGAGTTGCTGCTTTGAACTAATATGGAGCTAAAGTTTCACACTAATTTCTGTCATCCTGTAAACCTGGGGACCTCTTGCTTAATCTGTAGTTCATTAATAATTGATGAAATCCACYTGGCAAGGTTCATGGGCACATTTTCTCCTAAACTCAGTGGCCTATTGATGGCCTGAGACTGTGCCCTCTAGACACCTGTCTCATTGCACCAAGTGACCTAGAATCAAAGGGGAGCGAAGTACAGAAATTACCAAAGGAAGAATTCGAGCTGATGACTTTTTGCCGATGCTTCCTGGGAAAGTAAATGTTATGACAGAGCTACATTATGAKCATCAGTTAAATCCTTTCTTCATCTCCCAAATGTTGAGGTATCTGTTCTACATCTACTTGTYTGTGTGTACATAAATTCTGGTGCTTATCTTTGAATAGAAGTTTGATTCTTACTATAGATATAAATACCTCTGTTCCCCTTGCCCCTCATCTATGACTTCTACTTTTAACACTTTACTCTCTCCTTAAAAGCTCTAGCTTGTCCCCACCAGGCCATTTTTGTGCCATGGCCCATTTCTAAAGATGAGGTTAAGTTAGAAACAAAGGCCATTCTGTTGTTTCTCCCAAGAATTCTGGTCTTTCTTTAGAGTGCAGGACTGGGCCTTTGACTACTGCAGCAATCATACCAGAATCACATAGCATCTGAAGTTCAAACCCTCTCCTTCAGTYTTTACACTAAGGTTCTTCCCAAAGGCCTGGGGCTTCCCTGTATAAACACTACAAGCTTATATCCTCCCAGCATCTCCTTCAACTGTCACTGTTGGAATTAAAGTATTACCAGTTCTGAAAGGTTTGTGCACTGTGTGTGTGTTTGCTAATGTTGACATAATTGAGATGGAAAAAAAGTATTCAAGCACTCTAGCTTATCACTTTTGTTCTCAGAGTTTCAGAAGGGGAAATGCAAGGAGCTTCCTTAACTGAGTGTGGAAAGCTGGCTAATTTCTTCACGATTAGCAACACTTTCCTAGTGTTGTGGAGGGATGGGAGGGCCAGACAAGGACGACTTTCCTCTTCTCCAGGGATGGACAAGCATCCCTCTGTCTTTATGCTTTCCTTCCATAGGTAGGTCAGGAGCAGCCTGAAGCCGCATCGGGGAGGAGAAGTGGCTGACTCTAGGATATCTGGAGGAAACAAAGACTCTCCCAATGAAATATTCCATGAGTAAAAGAACACAAGAAAATACTTCTTCATAGAAACCCATCATTTTAGGATACACTTAAATTTTTCATCCTCTGCACCAACCTAGCCAGCAYGAAAGGAATAATTTGAGAAGACGTCTTTTATTCATTATTTTATCCCCAGTCTTTTCAAAAGCAACATATGCAACACATGGGCTCATTTTGACAGTTCCCCTCTTGTCCCAGTGATTTCAGAACCCCCACCTGTCTCTAGGCAGTGGGGAATTGGCAACTTGCTTTTCCTCTCACCCTCTCTTTAGGATGCCAGAAATGTTCTTCTSTTCCTTTTTGTCCCACTTTTCTTATTCATTTTCATGCTGATCCTGTGGGAAAGAGAAGATGAATATAGGTGGAATATCTTTAAAATGTAGGAAAGAAAGAGGGTCACTTACAAGGATGAGGCAAATTTAGGCTGTTTGTTGTCGGCTTCTGGTCACTGAATTTTAAGTCTTTTTTTCCAGCACTGGGGATTGAACCCAGGAAGGGTCCTCTACCATTGAGCTACATCCCCAGCCCCTTTCTCTCCTCTCTCTCTCTCTCTCTCTCTCTCTCTCTCTCAATTCTGAAACAGGATCTGTCTAAGTTACTAAAGCTGACCTTGAACTTGTGATCCTTCTGCCTCAGGCTCCTAAGTCAATGTAATTACCAGCACAAGCCACCATGCCTGATCCTATATTTCTATGGAGAAATTCAGTGAATAGAGATGAATAAAAATAAATAAAACTCTTATTTCCATTTTTTAACCTCTTTACTCTCAAAATTCTAACTCTTCCATTTTATACTAAATGGGAACTCTCATCAACCTGTCTTAATTCTCATGAAGAAAAAATTGATGGAAAATCTTTACCATAGTGCTTATAATAATGTATGCTATTGTTATTGTTCTTTTTGTGTCATCATAATAATTATATTTTTTCAGAAATCATACTCACTATTCTTACTTCCTTGAGATGTGATTGCGTTTTTACATTATTGATCATGAATTGTAACAAGGCAATTATATACTTGTGCTGAGTAGACTTATGTATTATTTCTATTGAAAAAAGGAGGGCTTGAATTTCTGTAGAAATTTGATGACATATAGTCTTTTAAAGATACTTTATTTCCTGTATTTTTTCCCCCTCTAGACTTTGTGGATTTGAACCATTCTATGATGAAAGAGGCGATCAGTTCATGTTCAGGAGAATTCTGAATTGTGAATATTACTTTATCTCCCCCTGGTGGGATGAAGTATCTCTAAATGCCAAGGACTTGGTAAGTGTGATCAAAACAAAATGAAACACAATGGAATAAATTCATATTTAACGAATTAATGGACATTTTAAAGATTATGCTCTGATTAATAATTAGTGGTTAGTTAATTCCCCTCGTCTTTTCAAAGGCAACATATATATATATATATATCATACACCCTGATGCGGACTCCTTTTGTAGTCCCTYTTTTGTCCCCTCTGACTTCAAAACCTCTACCTGACTCTTGAGAGCAGAAGCATTAATGCATTTTTCTTATAGATAATGAAAGGTAGGTATGTTTTGACTCATCATTAGCTAAATTATCACAAACTACAATTGTTATTGTATTAATGAGTTTCTACCACCTGACAAATGAAGAGACTTGCTTATGACAAAAGCTGTGCTAGGTAAATGCAAACCCAGTTTACACAAAATTCTGTTTTAACATGGCTTATTATTACCTAGAATTAGATAGACTTCATATAAAATAATGTCACTTCCTGAAATTTCATCCAAACTTATTAAAATATCCTGGAAGTAACACAAGTTCTTCCTTTACGGATCCTTGACATAGAGTCRTGAAGTAGAAATAGTGTATTTTGTTTCTTTTACACTGCTTCTCACCTAAGCTAATATAGACGCTCATTTGCATTCAGGAAACACCCTCTTCGGAGGGGGCCTCCTCTTCTAAAAAGATGATACGAATGTGTGGTTCAAACATTTATCATCAGTGATCTAGGGGAAAACCCACACAGAAATAACCAAAAGCTGACTTTTGAATCATAGAGGGTTGAGAGGGATCTTGGGAGTCATCTGATCTTTCCCTCATTTTAAAGATAAGTGTGCTAAAGACCAGAAAATTGAAGGGACAGGGGCTGGGGATATACTCAGTTGGTAGAGGGCTTGCCTCACATTCACAAGGCCCTGGGTTCAATTCCCAGCACACAAAAGAAAAAGAAAATTGAAGGCACAGCCAAAGATGATACATCTTGCTAGTAGGAGAACATTATTAAAACTGACTACAGTTTCCMGACCCCTGTTCCAGGACTTTTCCTCCATCAACATTTCTTCCTTTTACTTCATGTTATTTCATGGAACAGATCACTTAGGGCCCATGGCTTTTCCTGCAGATGGAGAAGAGGAGCGCTGTGTGTGGCATGTGAGGATTTTGCACCACACTCCAGACGTCTCTTACATCCATCACTTTTCTCCACCTCTGCTACCACTATCCCAATCCAAGACACCATCCTGAAGGACCTGGACCACAACCTCCTCTCTGGTCTCCCTGCCTCTTCCTGTGCCCTTCTTAAATACACTCCACACAGGATGTGGAAGTCTCTGCTCTAGACAAATCCAGTGTCCCCAACCCAAATATGCAGTCCTTTATAAATGTTACAGAAAAGACTGGAAGGCAAATCAGATATTATTTATTCCTTATTTTACTTGCTGCTTGATTTTGTTGGCCTGGGTTCACTTCTTCATCCAAAGCCCCTCATTTCTTACCAGGCCAAAGTCCAGAGAGATTGACTCCCTTGGAGACATTATGATGGACTTGAGATGAATGCTGACATAATACAGATCTCAGTTTCAATACAAGCTCTACTAACTAGAAATGTCTAACCTTAGGCAAGTACTAAATCTGAGTTTGTTAATCCCTCTCTTGAGAACTGGAGCCAGTAATTCTAAGTAACCTTAATTCTAAAGATTATTAGTTTTTTAAATTATATGCATATAATAATGCATAAACAAGGGAATTAAGGTGTTAATCAGATCCAATCATGTAAGAAAAGGACCTAGGGAAGTGTCTGTAGAAACCTACTTCGTGTCTATGTCTAGGTCTCAAAAGTAGAGACATAATCAGAAYTTTCACACATCTTTTGACTTCAAATAGACTATCTCTCATATCAGATCACTCCTTCTGAGTCCAAGGCTTGGAACTATTTTWTTTGTTGATCTTCTTGGCAATTTATTGCCTGCCATTCTGAGAAGCAGAAATGGACCTTTCAGAACAGGTTGCCTTTGGTTGAGTTTAACCCTTTAAGCAAATCATACCCCAAAGCCAGTGACTTTTTTGATTCTAAAATGACTTTTACTCTAGCTCTGGGCTGGAGCACCCTCCGGAGATTAAAGAAAAAGAACTACACATCCCAGGAGTATCATAAAATAGTTGGACTATTGCCCCTTTTGTTTGCCATTTAATCTCCATGGAAAGAATGATGATGCATGAATGATTCTGTTGCCATGGAGATGTATTTTAAGTTCTGAATTCTAGGTGATTCTGAAGTACAGCTTAGAATGATTCAGATGCTGGTTTTACCTTCAAAGAATCAGAGGCAAGTAGGACCTGTTTCTTTGACCTTTGCTCAAAAGCAGTCTGCCTCTTGGGGGACAGGTTTCAGTAGGGTCCCAATATCATCTACTGCTACCTGCAGGAGTTCCTGCCCACTGTGTCCCCTGAGGGCTTATACCCTTTTTAAAAAATGTATAATTARTGCTACTGCTCAGAAAATAGAACAAGACCTAGAAGATCACAAGCTAGGGGCATGTTCAAGCCACCATAAAAGTTTCCTTAAATCTGTTTCTTTATCATTTCAGGTCAGAAAATTAATTGTTTTGGATCCTAAAAAACGGCTGACTACCTTTCAAGCTCTCCAGCACCCTTGGGTAACAGGTAAAGCAGCCAATTTTGTACACATGGATACGGCTCAAAAGAAGCTCCAGGAGTTCAATGCTCGACGCAAACTTAAGGTAAAATGACATTTTTTCTTTTGTTTAAAAAACAAATATTGGGGCTGTGGTTGCCTAAGCACATGTGAGGCACTGGGTTTGATCCTCAACAACATATGATAAATAGATAAATAATGAATAAATGTATAAAAATACAATAACATTATTTAAAAAGATTATGTTCTCTTTCTAGGACTAGTAACCATTTTCAGTGGCACCAGGGGAAAAAAAATCCTGCTTAGAAATCCCAACAGTGCTGACATTAAGCTACTCCAGTTTCTTTATCTTCTCATAAATTCATCATTAATAGTAGGGGAAAGGTTTTTTTATACTGAAATTTGGTCACCAAATACACTATTGCTGCTTCTCATCTAATTAAGGCTAAACAATTGGAACAGCATTTTTCAAGAAACTGATGTTTATTCAGGAAGTTGTTTCCTTCCTGAATATGTGAAAACTGGAAAACAATTTTTGAAACTAGACTTCATAATATAAACAACTCTACTTGATAAACATTAACATGATTGAAATTAGAAATTATTCATCAAAATGTGTCCATTTCCTATAGAACACTTATAAAACAAAGACTGTATACTTTTCTATGACATAATGGTATTTAGAACTAGTTATAGAAGGGGATCTCCAAACTTAGGSTTCTCCTCAACCTTTTTTTACTGGCTCATATAGATTAAATAAACTGAAGGGCTCCATGGCCAAATTAATTTGAAATACCCTGGATGAGTGTTGATGTAACATGGATCCTAGTGTTCCAGGAAACAAATACTTTGGGAAACAATCTAAAATTTGATCTGAGTCATCAGTTATCCAGATTATGAAATACTCTAATTTGAGATTAGAGAGATTTTTTTTTGGTTCATTCTCCAAACAAGTTTTCATCCAATGGTGTTAGAAGAACATACTTTGAAAGACTGAACACCAACTTATAAAATATACTCCCTAAAAACAAAGTAGGGGTTTAGCTCTGATTTGGGATTTTAAGTGGAGGTGACACATCTGATGCCTTTCTGTCTCCAACCAGGCAGCCGTGAAGGCTGTGGTGGCTTCTTCACGCTTGGGAAGTGCCAGCAGCAGCCATGGCAACATCCAGGAGAGCCAGAAGACTAGCCAAGAACCTTCTCCCATCCAAAGCAGCAGCGAGAACATCAAAGCGATGCCAGAAGTAGAGAACACCCAAGGAGATGGGCCCCAAGTGGCCGTGGAGGGTGAAGAGGCTGAGTTGATGAAGGTGCAGTCCTTAGAGGAGGTGAAAGATGAAGATATAAATGCTGAGGAAGTCCCCATGATGGAGCCCGATGCTCTGGAGGACGAGATAAAGATTGCTGACCCAGAAATGGAGGAGAGCCCAGTGGAAGAGAAACTGAAGACTGTGGAGGAAGCAGCAGACCCCAGAGAAGGGCAGGAGAACCCTGCCGTGGGACTTGGAGTTCCACAACAAGATGTGATCTTGCCAGAGTACTAAGTTGACTTCCTTTAGATCCGGAAGTCAAACTCTGGCATTTTATGTGCTTTGTCCTTCAGCAAGGAAGGGTGTGGAAGCATGATATGCACTAATAGTGATTCTGTTTTTGAGGTGCAAAAAAAAAAATACATATATACAAGTTGGTAATCCTAACTTCAATGCATGTGACTGCTTTATGAAAATAATAGTGTTTTCTATGGCATGTAATGGATACCTAGTACCGATGAGTTAAATTTGAAATTGCAAGTAAACACAACCCTTAAAAACACCCATTTTCAGCAACCAGTGGCAGACATTTTAAGTAAAATAGTACAAATTAATTTTCCTTTGAAAACCTAGCCATCCTACATCCTTTGGGTTTCTTCACAAGGCAGTAATTCCTTTGAACTGCTTCTCAGATAATACTAGGAGATGCTATAAAATATATTTCCATGGCCTACCCAATATTTTTCAGCATTAATGTGTTCAAAACTGTTTACAAGGAAATGGATATATAAGTGATAGTCATACAGAATGTGCAAAAAGTTCCATTTACAATGGTAAGAAATTGAAGCATACTTATAAGGGCCATGAATTCATATGCCCCTAAAGTTTATGTGGAGAATGTCCTCTTACTTATATACACCATATCAAAAAAAAATCAAAATGTTATTAATAATTAACTCTGCCATTAATTCTGACATTTTAACAATCCTGGAGAAAGTATTTTACACACACATGATGAATTTCATTCTTCCCTTCACCTACTGTCCAATAAGATGCTATTCAGGTAGACAAAATTAAGGAAGAATTAAGAAAATTAAGGAAGAATAAAGAATAAAGAAAATCAGGGAAAGAAAGGGGTAACAGAATTAATTCATTTTCATTTTGCAAATAAAATTAATTCATGAATTTATAAAACCTATAGATAGGAACATTTTTATGGATAAATCTATAATTACAAAGTTTCAAATAGTTAGAAAAAAACTATTCCACAAATTGGTGCCAAAATGTCTGAATAGAGTAGATCATTCATTATTGACTTTACTAGAAAAAGACAATTATTGTGTATAAAAACTTTCCCCTCCAATTGACAATGTCTAGACAAATTCTTTATAAGCTTAAGGATACTTATGAAATATAGTATATCTTTTTCTCACACTTGGAATGAAAGTGCTCACATTTTGGAATGTAGCGAATAAGTTTTTCATGTCAAGAAATTTAGTGCACAAATTTTTATTTGCCTTAAAAAGTGAATAAAAATGAAGAAAACAATGATTTCAAATCATACTCTTGAGAAGCTAGAATCTAATATTATAATTTGTATCTCCAGTGTATTTTTCTCCGACTTTAATAGCAGAACCATTCTTCCCTTAAATTACACTGAGTCCAAGTACCTCAAATTTATTTCTAGTTTGAGTTGAAATTAATATTTTACCAAAATCTTGCATAATGTAATACATTTGTGGTGGGTTTTTAATAATTTTAAAAAGAATAATTTTCAAAGTCCAAAATGAAAACAATAAAAATGACCAGCATATAAAAATTCTCATAAAATAGAGATCTTAATTTCTTTTGGCTCCTCCTCAAAACCATTACATTGGAAAACAAAGTCTCTGTGGCTACTGGAGGTTATTGGATCTCAGTGTACATTTTGCATTCCAAGCACAAATCTCCTATTCTCMGAGAAAGGAAATAAGGTAGGGCTTCTGGTATTCCATAGTTTAGGGATCTCATAGGTCACAGCCATAGAGGAAAAGACTCTGAAGAAGCACATAATCTGAGTTCAGATGATCTTTTTTTTGTTTTATTTCTATTAATAGTACTTGTCCCCTTCTTCCCTCTTTTATACCCTCTTAGAATTAAAATTTTGGCTATTATAAAGGGCTCACTTTTTAACTTGCAAGAATGTCTTCTTCATTAAGCATTAAGATTTCCATTTAAGAAGAGTAATTTCTTGGTAAACTTTTACCCCGTGAGTGTGTGTGTGTGTGTGTGTGTGTGTGTGTGTGTGTGAAGTGTTCCATTTGTCAAAAGAGGAAATAGGAGAGGGAAATGGGGTTCTATTAGAGAACAGCAATTAGCTGGAAGATCAGACCATATCATCCCTCCCATCTGGCGTTCCAAGGGCAGGTTATATCATTCCAACACTGGGGCTGACTGGATCCGTTGTCCCTGTGGATTATAGAAACAGCATTACCATTGCCAYAGCCACACAGTTTCAGAGTGAATTTAACCATTTTTAACCATTTAAATGATTGTACATGACCTTCCTTGGTGAGTACTCAAGAACATGAAGGTAATTCCCTCTTTAAATCTGTAAACTGCATCTTCTAAAATTTTGATGGAGATTTTAGATTTTTATTCCATATGTTAAGTCCTGATAATGCCCATATAGTGACTAATGAAGTCATTTCAGTGGGAAACAAGTCAATCTTTCACAGAAATGTTCATTTCAGTAAAGTAATTCAGATTTCATAGAAATAAAATCTAAGCTAGCATCATCATGTTATCACTTTTGAAAGATCATTGCTTGTTAAGATGGGATACATTGTCTATCGCAAGGATGATTTAGCTAAATAACAGTAGGCAAATAGAAACTTAATTTGGAAAAAATTCATAAGGTTACTTCTGACAATGTAGTCTCAAAGCAAGATAGTTTTTAAAATTTCAGCAAATAACAATATTTTGCATTTTAGAACTGACAATTATCACATTGCATTATTGGTTTCTATTTTGAGAAGTTCAGATGCATAGTGTAAACTACATTATTTTACCATAAGAGTCAATACTGAACTACATCCCCCATTTAAAAAATCTAAAAAACCCATTTAAAAAACCCAGTAGTTTCTTTCAAAATATTAAGGAAACATTTGTCCCAGGGACACATGGACTAGAAATTAGAATAAGATGGTTGTAGCATTTACTATATAGAACAAGAGCTGTCTTGTAATACAAGCCACATATGTAATTTTAAATTTCCTATTAGTTACATTTTAAAAAATTAAAAGATGAAATTATAGTATCTTTTAACCTAATATATCAAATTTSCTACATCAATATATAATCAAAAAATAATGAAACATTTTGGATTGCTTATTTTTATACTAAGTTTTTGGAATCAGGAGTGTATATCATATCTTTAGTATATCAAGCAGTCAAAACCCACATGTAGCTCATGGCTATTGCATATGGCACTAGTCTAGAGTACTTTTTTTATTTTAAGCAAAGTGACACTTGAACTTTTATGCTTATGTCTGAGCTGCCTCAGTTTCCCACATTCATGAATTGAAGAGAGGCCAAGGAGAAAATATTTCAGAAATATTGTAGACTGCAACAAGCAAAAAGCTATTGGCTATTCCCACCCATTCATATGGCTTGATGAAATGTTTCCTAGCACAACTTCAAAGAACAGCACTTAGTCCYGAGCATTGCCAAGTAATCTCTTTGCCACAGTTCCTCTTGATTTTTCTCTGGGCCCTGTAATCCTAACTACAGACTAAAGCCTCTTGAGTACTGCCATAAAGCCAACAGTATTCCTGCTTACCAGTGTCTGCTGTGGGTCCACTCTGTGTCCCCATTGAGAAAGGACTACACACAGAACCCAATTTGCAATTCTGAACCAGTATACCATTCTTGTGTCACAGGCAATATATCTTTCTAGAAATCTACTGAAACTTATAAATTAGCATGATGAAGACTGTATGAGAATGGTGATATCACATCAGTTACCCTGAAATGACTATTGGCTCTCATTTTTTACACGTAGTTAGAAGGGTTTAATCAACACTGCCATTACACATGGATTTTAAAAATAGACTTAGAAATTTTTTAAATACTGATTTTAGAATAATCATCAAGTTTCTATAGTCATTTTTAGTGGCAGACTTTAAAAGACATGAAGTTTGCCTTTTACTGTGACCTCAATTACATAGTATTTTAAACATGTTTTGTAATTTAGAATGTTTAGCAATGCCTATTTCCAGTTTCACATACAAGGTGACTGATCGTGGGTTGCCTACAGGCTGAAAATTTAAAGAGGGCTGTTTTGTTTCATAATCTAGTTTTTATTGCACAGAAGCAGCTGGTTGCATTTCAAATTGGAAAAAGAAAAGTAAATGCCAGAAAAGGCAAAGGATAAAATTAGTAAACCATTTATTCTGTTTTAGGGTTGTTCTTGCAAAGTCAATTTAAAAAAAAATTAAAAAGAAGTCAACAAACTGAGTTAACAGTAGGATTTTCTTGATGAAGGTGGACCTGATATATAATTGACAAAATATACAGAATGGAGACCAATTGCATAATTACAATGCCATTATGTAATTTATTTGTCATTGCAGAGTATAYTGTCTGGTTATCTAGGTCTACTAGGGAGGATGCAAAGTCTGTAGGCATTTACTTATGTAATAGGATTTGTAATATCCTTGTAATTACTGCCTATTAAGTCATATTTCAATTTCCTTAATGATCAGCAGTGAAATGCTCCTGTTCAGGGTCATTGCTAAATTTGAGCATTTATTGGTTGAACACTGCTTAATGTTTAGACTCTGTGTGTATATGCAATGTTTTTGAAAAAAAAACATAGACATGTAATTTCAACATTGGTATTATAATATTCATAACAATTTGATAAATAGAAATGTACCCAATAATTTTCTATACAAATTTCTAAGTCCTTTTATTCCCTTGAAACATTCAGGGTGAGTTTCCAGTACCTTGACAAACAGAAAAGAGAGGAGAGACAACCCAGTAATAACCAAGTTCAACATATCCTCTTCCTGCACTTTAAAATTTTTAAGGGCAAGATTTTGTTGTTATTATATTTTTGTGAATATCATATGAGCTCATATAATATGTCACTCCAATCATTTTCATACTTAACTTTGGGAGCAAAAACAAATATGATTAATTTATATCTGGTTAAAAAAGATTTTCATAAATGCTCTGTGATATTCTAGTTGATCTGATTGCACAATTTTAGCTTTCTTCCTGATTCTGTTCCCTATCATCTGGCCCAGAGGTACCCTTAGAGCAAGATAGAAGCCTTGCCAGAAAATCAGACTACCTAAGAAGCTTGCAAGAATCAGATGCTACTCCAGAGAGGATTCAAAGCAGCCACCTGGTTGAGCTGAAATTAGCCAAGTGAGAGAAAGCCAATTCCCACATTCTGACTGAAACCTTGAAAGTGGTTTGTTTCAATATTAGTATATTTCCATTGATCAATAATGGCACAAGATTCCACCAGTTGTTGACTCTTTCCTTGTCCTGGTTTGCCACCATTAATCCCAAATCAATGTTTTATTTCATCCCTGTGGCCACCCATTGTATAGGGTTGTGAGATCCTCTAAAGCCCTGGTGGGAACATCCAGACTAGCTGGAAAAACAAAGATCCTTATTAACCCRGAATTTAGTTTGAAACTCTCAACAAGATTAAGTCTTAAAAATCACCTTGTCCTTCTAAAKAGTTGTTTTCAGGGAATTTTAAGATTGACCTGGAAAATCCATAGAAATGGAATATTTGTGTCCCATCTGAGCTTTGCTATGATTCATTGTGTTAATAATGACAGATATTTAATCTTTGGTCAGACTGAATAATCCTTACTTTCCATTC